GTTCAATTCCTCAGCACCATATAAGCAAAAAGGAAAAAGCAGGAAGTGGCGCTGTGGCTCAAGTGGTTGAGCGCTAGCCTTGAGCTGAAGAGCTGAGGGACAGCGCCCAGGCCCAGAGTTCAGGTCTCACAACCGGACCAAAAAAAAAAAGAAGAAAGTTGGAGACTTGGACAAGGCCCAAATGGGGCGGGTGACACCAGTTGTGGGCAAGTCCCCACAGAAAGGGGCAGATGCAAATCAAACCCACCAGGGCTCCTGCACCCCCATGGTTGGCCGTGCAAAAATGCCTGTATAGAGCTGGCCCGGTGCTGTGCCACGCAAACTCAGCAATGTGGTTCTCAAGTACGGAGCCAAGGCTGCCTGCCAGAGAGCTCGCAAGCCTCGACCTTGGGAGGATACACATCCATTTATATTTCAAGGGAAAAGTAGGCACGAGGCGCGAGTAGGAGGGCATCCCTGAGGATGCACTGCCTCGGGGCATGAGGTCCACAGCTACGCGGGACTTGCCACTCACCCCGGGGGAGGTATTTCAGCAGTTATGCCCCTCTGGAGCACTGGAGAGGACAGCGAGAGGCACACAGTGTTCCCACCAAGTGATCTCAGAAACAAGAGTCGACATTTTCACACTTACACTTGTAGCACATCTACTCCTCCCCCATTCTCCAAGACCCTGTCATCACAGGTGCAGAAAAAGGCTCCACAGCCATGGGTGGGCACCCACCCATGCTGCAAGTCCACCGCGCTCTCGGCCCTCACTCCTCTTCCAGCTCTCTGGTCCTGAAATGGAGCAACTGGTTCGGGGGAAAAACTTGATATTCACCTACAAAAGAATGAGGTAGGACCCTGATAATAACAAATACAAAAACTTACATAAACCAGGCATAGCGGCACCTACCTGTAGCTCTAGATAATCAGAAGGTGGAGTATGCTTGAGCCCAGGAGTCTGAAAGCAACCTGGGCGGCAGTGTCAGACATCATTTCAAAACTCACAAACAAATGAAAAACAGCCCTAAGTATGAGAAACAGTAGTCAACAATCTTTTGTTCACTGGTTTGTTGACATTATCTTGGATATGGCACCAAACACACAGACAACAAATGAAAAGATAAAGCAGACCTGATCAAAATTAAGACGATCTGCACATCAAAGGGCACCATTAATAAACAAAGAGACAACAAGCAGAAAGAGAGGGAACATTTGCAAACCACATGTATGATAAGGTATCCAGAATCCATGAGAAGCTGCAGCTGAGCAACTAACAACCCCATTCAGAAACAGGCACTGAGTCTCAACAGATACTTCTAAAGAAGACACATGAATGGCCAGCAAAGACATTTAAAAATGTTCAGACTCACTGTCCCTATGGAAATGAAAACCAGAGCCATAATAAGATGCTGCCTTGCATTCATTATCAGTGGTTTTGTCAATAAATGAGATAGTGAGATAAAGAAACTGGAGCCCTTGAACATTTGGCTGCTGGGAATAGAAAACCATGCAGCTGCTGTGGAAGTTTGGCAGTTCAACAAAAAGTTAAAAGTAGAGTTACCATATGATCCAGCCATTTCATTCCAAGGTAGGCATCCCAAAGCATTGAAGGCAGAAACTCAGACAGACTAACACGTATAATCTGGGCAGCGTCATCCACTCACAGCCAAAGAGCGGAGCGAACCCGAGTGTCCATCAACAAATGACATGTGCTAAACATGCACCAACCTTGAGGACATTATGTAACAAAATAGGTCAGACCCAGAACAACAAATACTGTCTCGTTCTACTTATAAGAAGTGCCTAGAGACTGGGAATGTGTCGTAGTGGTAGTGTGTTTGCCTAGCATGCATGAAGCCCTGGGTTCCATTACTCAGTACCACATAAATAATAAAAGCAAGAAGTGGTTCTGGGGTTCAAATGGTATAGTGCTAGCCTTGAGCAAAAGAAGCTCAGGGACAGTGTCCAGGCCCTGAGTTCAAGCCCCAGGACTTACAAAAAAAAAAAAAAAAAGTAGTACCTAGAAGAGTCAAATCTATACAGAAACAAAGTAAGGGATACCAGAGTCTGGTGGAAAAGCATCTTGGGAATGAGAATTTCTTTGGGAGGGAGGAAGAAAAAGTTGTAAAAATTGATCCTGGTGCTAGTTACATAACACTAAATATATTTAATGGCATTTAATTCTATACTTAAAATATAATTTTTATATTAGGTCTATCTTATTTTTAAAAAACTTTAAAAGAATCACAAATACTGCTGGGCACCAGTAGCTCATGCCTGTAACCTTAGCTACTCAGGAGGCTAAGATCTGAGATCATGGTTTGAAGTTAGCCCAGGCAGGAAAGCCTGTGAGACTCATCTCCAATTAACCACCAGAACACCAGAAGTGGTGCTGTGTCTCAAAATGGTAGAGAGCAATCCTTGAGTGACAGATCTCAAGGACAGTGCCAAGGCCGAGTTCAAGCCCCGTGACTGGGGTGGGAGTGGGGGGCGGAGGGGCGGGGGGGGGCGGGGAGTGCAGTGAGCTTTCATTTTATAATGTGAATAGTCATTCAACTTATTCTCACATGAAGGCAAATTTACATGTTCCCACTCTCAGAGCAGAGGGACGGCCACCAGCCTTAAAGAGGAGCTGGTGAGACATAGCCCTTGGACAGAAGTACTCAGAGCCTTTCAGTGGGCTCAGCACTGCCTTCTGAGTTTGCACACTGCCCTGCGGGATGCTGGGACTTGTTCTGGATCACCCATACCATCAGGATCTTTAACTTCACACTTCAGGACTTCTTAGAAAATTACTAGTTTTCTAAGAAAAGTAATTATTATTATATAAATTATTCTAGTATATATAAATTATTATTCCATGCACATACGTGTCCCAGCAGTATACAATAGCAGACCAGTACTGCAGAATCAGTACTGCAAGCATATTTACCACCTGGCTTTTTTTCTTTCAAATGTTTTATAGTAGTACTGGGATTTGGACTCAGGGTCTTACAAACTTGCTAGGCAGATGTTTTACCACTTAAACAACACCTTCATCCTTCTAGTTTTATTTTTATTAGATCAGGTCTTGCATTTTTACCTGGACTGCCAGTCTCCTATTTCTCCTTCTCATAGCTGTGGTTACAGATGTGGACCCCACTCCAAGATCATTGGTTTTGATGAGCCCTCACTAATTGGCTGGCCTCAAAATGCAACCCTCTCAATCACTGCCCCTCAAATATCTGGGATTATAGGCGTGAGCCACCATTCATAGCCACAGTGGCCATCTTCCAGTGTGCTTACCTTGTTACTATTTATCTCCTCTTTTAGTTTCATGTGAATCTAGATCCTTTCTTATAGTCTCTCCTTGGTTGATTGTAAGAAATCTCTTCTCTCTTGGTGTGATTTTTCTTAGGTCACAGACTTGTGACCTATACCTGGTACTTCAACTACCTTCCACTGGACTACATGAGGAACGCAGGCTGCGTAACTATGGCAAATTGAACTCTTCTGTTTCAGGCTTATCCCCAGGTCGCACCATGAGAAAACTGGTCCAAAACCACTCACAGAGACTCTACAGCATTCCACATTGTAAACAAGATCTTGACTTCCAGACCTGAAGGAAAGCAACTGAGACGGTTTGCAAGGGGCTGAAAGAGATATGGGTGGAATCTGGCCTTTGGATTTTATATCTTCACATGCTAGTTAGTAGTACCAATGAGAAAAAGAGGTATTTAACTAAATACATACAAGAGGAACTTTTTAAAAGTTAAACTAAAAATATGAACAGCACTACCTTACCTTTTTGCCTGATTTTTAAATTCAGGCAAAGCTGAAAATGTTTAAACGTTTTTAGCTGAACGGTTTTTCTTTAGGTTGCTAGATGCAACCTAAACAACAGGGCTACTGGACACAGGCCACTCCTTGAGAATGGTCTCCAGCCCCTTCCTCCCCTGTGGCCCTCAGGAGGAGCAGGCTGTCTGCCCATGAACTCTTGCTATCTTAGACCCTCAGATCAGAAGAAAAGAACAGTCTTTATTCCTGTCCGTTCACACTAACTTCCAAGCTACAGACAACAGAATAGCCATTTCTCCTTTCTGCACAGGGCTAGCCCTGTTTGGCAGGAAAACCCTGTGGTTTCAAAAAGCAGCACAAACCCATCATGCTAGTTTATCTCTATTACCTTATTAAGCAAAACAACCATCATCAAAGAGGTATCATCCTAGTGTAAATACAAAGACACAATACCACTAATCTGGGACAACAGAAACATACAACACAGTTAGACCCAGGTCTGCCTCCATGAATCTTAAACTGCCTTTTATAGAATATCTGGCTCTGGTGAGCTAGCAGTACACAATGTGTTGGCTCATGAAATTCAAACAAGTATGCCTTCCTTTGCACTCTACATTCAGCTTCAACCATAAACTATATGTCCCCTCTAAAAATCCACTTAGAAAAAAATATGAAGTTACACATAGCAGAAAAATTTTTAGAAGTATTCAGGCAATCATAAAAAAGGGATAAAAGACTTATTTCCTCTTTTATGGGATGACAGAGCCCAATGCATTGTAGTGACACACAGAAGGAAACAGCCAGGGAAAGAAAGCAGTTCACTGGGATGCCAACTCTTGCTCACACCTAAAACGTCTAGAAGAGTTGTGGTGTGTTCTTTGTTCTCTGCCAATTGTGTACAACTTACACTGTACAGCATGATGACCACACAGGGTGCATATGTACAATAAAGTCCTGGTACACACATATACACACATACACACACACACACACACACACACACACACACACACACACACTCAGGAATGGAACTACCATTTAGAGAATCTCAACTAACTGCATATATTCTCATCTATAAGGCAATCTTCCAATATTGGTTATAAGAAAAACTGGACATCTAAGCCCACTGACAAAGATAGTTCCTTTTGCCAGCCAATTATACAAAGGGAATAAATTTCCTAATATCAAACTTACATTTCAGAATATAATAGTTTTAATATACTATCTCTTCTTTCTTTATTCAAAAATAGAGGCCCCAAAAATAAACAACTAAAATGTACAACGTCATATGAAATCACAGGGTCTCCAAAGGTTATAAAGGTAAACCTGCATAACAGAGGTATTCATTCCAATTACTAGAGAGAGAATAAGTTGATTTTCAAAGAAATGTATGTGGAGAAATGCTGACCACAGGCAGACGGTGATCGGATCTCCCATCTTTATGGTAATGAACAGGCATGGACAGTGTATGGGGCAGTGAGGAGCTATTCTAGGAAGGCCTCTTGCAGGTAGTCCTGGAATGGCTTTTCCAGAGGACTCCCTGCTCTGGCAAGATTCAACACTCACAGTGCAGTGTCTTTCCAGAGAGAGTGCTGTGGAATACCACTCCACTCTGCCTATCTCCTGTCAGTCACCCTCCGGGCCACCTCTAACACACAGCACCAGGAGATGGCTTGGATACACACTGAGGAACTGGGAAGAGTGGGACACAGGCACGTCACCAGACCCCCTGGGACTGAGCGCACCTACTCATTGCGCTCCAGGGTGTGGAGGTCGTCCAGGAGCTCCTGGGCGGCGCTCTGCAGGTGCGGGTTGCGGCTTTTCGACATGGCCAAGATGCGCTGCAGAGGTAGAGAGTTCCGGAACTCAGCGGCTGACTTGGAGAAGACTTCCGGTTCCAGAACCACAGACTGGATGAGCCGCAGTACATGGAGACACACCTCTACATCTGGATCTGAGAAAGATGGAGACACTTCCAGTGAGAATTAGAGCTTCTTCAGGAGTCCACCCTTTGAAGGCTCCTTCTGAGTGACAAGTAGATGGGTGAGAGAACTCTAGGCTATTCCGGAGACCAGAGTAATTTCTTGATGTGAAAGCTCGCACATAAAACAGTAGACAAAACTTGATCAGCATCTATTTACAACCATCCACCTACAAAAACACTACGATCATAATTAGAACACTGAACTGGCAACGCTGGTGCTGCGGTGGGAACTGGGAAGTGGCCCCCCAGGCCTATGCTAGCCCCCAGCCTGTGGTGCTCCTAGGATGTGGTGACCCTCCAGGAAATGGAGTCTACTGGGAGGAAGTGAGGTCCCTGGGGGCATGTCCTGAGGTGGGTATCGGGACCCTGTTCCCTTCCTGCTTCTCTCTGCTTCCAGGAGGTGACATCTGTTCCTGTCGTGAAGACCCTGCACGCTGCCACAGGCCCACAGCATCACTGAAACCTATGAAACTGAACACAGATAAACCTTTCCTCCTTTTAGTTGACATCCTCAGATATTTTCTCTCGGTGGCATAAAGCTGACTAACACAAAGGCTTTCCATATTGTTTGCCATAACTCTGCTCTCACCATTGTCTTAAAGCTATTACTTCATTTGCATTCCAACTGTAGCTAGCCTCTCAAAAACTACAGGCAGAGACACACTCTGCTCCGGCTGTGGAGTTACACAGTGCCACGGGCAGCAATGCACACACTGCCTTCCATTACTTTCCATGTGACTAACCTCAGGAGCTACAGAGCCTGGAAGCCATACTTACATTGTAATATCCGCCAAAAACAGTGGGGGGCTGGGAATGTGGCTCAGCAGTAGAACGCTTGCCTGGCATGCATGAAGCCTTGGGTTTAATTCCTCAGTACCACATACACAGAAAAGGCCAGAAATGGTGCTGTACCTTAAATGGTAGAGTGCTAGCCCTGAGCAAAAAGCTCAGGGACAGTGCCCAGGCCTCGAATTTGAGCCCCAGGACTGGCAAACAAAAAACAAAACAAAAACAAAAAAACCAGTGGGGGTAGGGATGGGAGGGGTAAGTGGAAGAGAACGATGGACAGGAGACATTGACCAAGAAGTACCATGCTTACAGCCGGACGTACGGAACTGTCGCTTCTTTGGACAACTATTTAATAATAACAAAATAAATGTAAAAATAGCAAGAGAAAATCAGTAATAAAGTACAGACAGTAAAGGGACAATAAGTAATATATGAAAAACTTGATACTTATAAATTTGTTTTACAACTTGGCTGGAATAAAAAAGTTCTTGGGATAAAACACACTATCAAAATGTATTCAAACAGCCAGGTGCTGGTTGCTCACACCTGTAATCCTAGCTGCTCAGGAGGCTGAGATTTGAGGATCGAGGTTCAAAGCCAGCCTGGGTAGGAAAGTCTGGGAGACTCTTATCTCCAATAAAGCACTAGAACACTGGAAGTGGCGCTGGGGCTCAAGTGGTAGAGCGCTCGCCTTGAGCTAAAGAACTGAGGGACAGCGCCCAAGGCCAGAGTTCAAGCCCCACAACCGACCAAAAAAAAAAAAATTATTCAAACAAAGCAGATAAACTACATTTGTCTGTATCTATTGCAGAAACTGAATTTGTAGTTTAAACAATGAATAAAAGCCCAGGACCAAATGGCTTCATTCGCAAATTCTATCCAACATTTAAAGAACAATAATAGTAATGCTATACAAGTATCCTAGTAAATAGAAGATACTTGTTCACACAAGTGTCAACTTTTTGGGGGACAGAATTGCTCTGCTACCAAAACTAGACAAAGAAGACACAGCAACATGTTTGGGGAGGGGGCAGTAAAATGAAAGGAGGGAGGAAGGATGAGAAAATATAGCCATTGTATTCATGTACATTATATAAAAACTGAACTGCATAATTTAAGGGTAGAGATGGGAGGGGAAATTGGAGAGCATGAAGGAAGAGGTGGTATTGATCAGGGTGCAGTGTACTCATAACCTAACATACAGAATTGTAACATCTCTGCACAACTACTTTATAACAAAAGTTTCAAAAACTAGACAAAAAGCCAGGTACTGCAGCCTCACACCCATAACTCTAGCTACTCAGCAAGCTGAGATCTGAGGATCACGGTTCAAAGGCAGCCCAAGCAGGAACGTCTGTGAGCAAAGTCTATAAGACTCTTAAAACTCAGAGAAAGCCAGAAGTAGCACTATGGTTCTTGACTTAAGCATAGAGTCTCAGGGACAGTGCCCAAGCCCTGAGTTCAAGCCCCAGACCAGAACAAAACAAACAAAAACTAGACAAAGACATATTCATATCTCTCAGAAGCATGGATATGAAGTTCCTAAGCAAAATATAAGCAAAGTAGACCGAGAAATATGACTTTATAGCCACTATGCATTTATCTGGGGAGTGCAGGGTGCTTCCAAACTTGTAGATCAATCAATGACACATAGAATAAGAAAAGCTCATCTTTGCCACAGATATTTTCAACAGAAAATTCCTGACAAAACTTAATACCTATTAATAATGTTTAAAAAAAATATTCTAGGCTAGAACTCTACCACAGTTCCATTTCCAGTTTTCTGGTACTTAACTGGAGATAGAAGTCTCACAGACTAGACTGTGGTAGAGCGCTTGCCTCGCATGCATGAGGCCCTGGGTTCGATTCCTCAGCACCACATAAGCAGAAAAAGCCAGAAATGGCGCTGTGGCTCAAGTGGTAGAGCGCTAGCCTTGAGCTGAAGAGCTGAGGGACAGCGCCCAGGCCCAGAGTTCAGGCCCCACGACCAGACCCAAAAAAAATCCAAAAAACAAAAAACAAAGAATTGAACAACAGAGCAACCTGGCAACACTCAGGACAACCTGGGTCGGATTGAGGGCATCCACTGAACATCACAACTGTAGGAGACATTGCTTCCACTCCAGGGCCCAGGGTTCCCATGCTCACCACCCTGCTAAAAGCACCCTGAAGATCTAAGCTGTACAGTAAGAGGAGAATTTCTTTTAAGTTTACAGGTTGAAAAGGAAGAAATAAAACTATCACTATTTGCAGGTAATGTCTATAATAGAAGATCTCAATGAATAAACAAGAAGCCACTAAAGTAATTGAGTTTTGCCAGGTTTTCAGAGTACAAAGTCAACTTTACACAAAGATAAATTTTTACTAATATACTGGCAATAAAAAATAGGAAAATTTCTGGGCCTGTAATCCTAGCTAATCAGGAGGCTGAGATCTGAAGATTGAGGTTCAAAGCCAGCCCCATGCAGGAAAGTCCATGAGACTCTCATCTCCAATGAACCGCAGAAGACCAGAAGTAGTGCTGTGGCTCCAGTGATAGAGTACTCACCTTGAGCTGCAGAGCTCAGGAACAGTGCCCAGGCCCAAAGTTCAAGTCCCACGACCAACAAAAAAACAAAAAACAAAACCCAAATCCAATTTCTCTTCTGTTGCATGTTGTCCTTATTTATTATTATGATTGTTTTGGTGTTTTGGAGCAGGTCTCTACATGTAACCCAGGCTGGGCTTGGAGTCATGATCTTCCTGCCACAGCCTCCCAAGTAATGGGATTAGAGGTGGACACCACCACACCACCACACCTGGCTCAGGAGCTTTCTTTTGAGTTATTCTCCTTATAAATAGATGGACATCTCAAATTAGGGGTTGGTGCTTTCATCATTTTGGAAAATTCCTTTGGCTTTATTTCTTCAATGTTGTTTCTAAGCTGTCTCTTCTCTCTTGAATTTCTATTTTTCATTGTTTTGTTTTATTTTTTCTCTTCAGTTTCTAGAATACTAATTCACTGGATGTTAAGGTCTTTGTCTCATCTCTGTGCCTTTTACCTGCTCATATTTTCCAACTCTCTTTGCGCTTCATTCTGAATAATTTCTGCAGATCTATCCATTCAGCTATCTCTTCAACAATGTATAATCTGCTATTAAATTGGTCCAGTAAATTTATAGTTGCAACTAATTATAATGTTAATTTCTAGAAATGTTATGCAATCTTTTTTCAGATCTAATGGGTTATTTTATAATCTCCCTTTACGCACATGTTAATCCCTTTGGGGACTTTTCTATTCATTTCATTTTTGTAGTATTGATGCTAGTATTCACTTTGCCACTGAGCTACAACTCCAACCCCATGTTATTTCTTTAAACACATTAATCTACTTAATTTCATATCAGCTTACTAATTCTCATCTTTAAACCTTCTGTAGGTCTGACAGTGTACACCTGTTACTTCTGTTGCCTTTCATTCACATTACTTTTTGAGATTTTAAGATGTGATCTCTGATCTTGGAATGCTATATCTAAGAATTTTTTAAGTACTTGGGAGGATTTTGTTTTTCTCTTAATGGGGACTGTATTAGTCAAAGTTCTCCAGGATGTGAGGAGAGACAAATGTATGAATTGATAGACGAAGAGGAAGATAAAACTATTTTCTATAAGGGTATAAGGGTTGGCTTATTAGGGAATCTGAGACGTCCTAAGATCAATACTGGGTGATGTAAAGGGCTCATGCCTAGAGGGCTGGTACCTGGGTCCAATCTGGAAGCTCTCAAGCTCAAGGTTCAAGAGTGGATGGTTTCCAAAGGCAGGAAAAGACCATCTTCTGGCTAATTAGCCGAGGAGTGCCTTCTCACTCATCCTTTCTGTTCCACCCAGGTCTTCAACCATGGGGGCAAACCCCACTTGCACCAGGAGGGTCATCTGCTCTACTTAACCTATAGATTCCAAAGTTCATTTCATCCTGACACATCCTCAAAACAAAAGTGAATGTTTGAGCAATGTTTGGATGCTTTGTGGTCCAGTCAAGTTAACACATAACATTATCCATCCCAGGAGCCACCCAGGTGATCTGAAGTAAAGCTTCAAGACTACATGGAAACCATCCCAGTGCCAGTTCTCAAAAGATATCCCCACACAGTGCTCAAAAAACCAAGGGTCAGAAAAGGCTGCTTTTCTGAAGATCCCAGAATT